CCCCAAAACCCCAAAACCCCAAAACCCCAACTAATTAGATTATGAAAAAAGTGTAAGTGGAATATTTATGTTTTATAAAATAATGATTTTTCTCAATTATTATTGATCAAGATTATTATAATCCCTCTTGGTTCATATCTCGCTCAAAGATTTAGATATTTGCTATAACTTAAACCAAATTGAATTCACGAAGGAGTTATTTGATTGTAACTAGTATAGTTAATTTAATATTATTTAGTTGTTTGGGTTAAGATCTACGATTGGTTTAAAGTCGCTCATAGATATAATCCGTGGAAATTTTTTATCCTTATTCTCTTCTAATTTAATCTCATTCTCTACATTCTTACTTATCCTTTCAAACAAAAACTATTTTCTCACTTGATAAGCCATCTTTGGAATTTTGATGATGATTTATTATTATTAAGATTTCATAGATTAGAAATTCTCAAGTTTCTTACTTTTTTTTATTTCCTCATTTGTTTAATAATATTATTATTTAGATGTGTCTGATTTCGTGTGTGTTATGATGTCAACAATTTAATCTTGAGAATTCTCAGTTTTTTTCATTATCTAGAATAAAATTTTTTTTTCAACTTTCTACTTTGGTTTTTTATCTGAAGTCACTAAGCATTTATAAAAGTGTTGCTTCATCAGATGGGATCTATAATATTATTTTTGGCAGTCTTGATTTGGACATTTAAAAGGTCTAAGATGTTGATTTGAACATGATAAGTTACCTCAATTTGAAGTGCCTTCTCTAGTGGTCTTAGAAATTGCCAAAAGTTTTGAATCCTTTTGTACAGATTTAGCATTGATATGGGATGCTTTTAGTATGACATATTTTATGATTACAAAGGCTTTATCTGTGTTTAAAATTTTTGCCACATTGAAAGCATTAATAATTTTTTTAAATTGACTCTATCTTCTCATCCTCCTAAAAAATATACTCTTTTCATCAATAATATTTAAATGAGTTTATAAATTGTTTTGATTACACAAATTATTCAATTCTATATATATTTTGAATACTTACATCTAGATTTTGAGAACTTTAAGCAGATTGATATATTTATAATTATTCATTCATCACATCTGTCATCGACTTTTTACTACACTCCTCGATTTATTTTTATTACAAATCAAATTACGATATCTTTTATGTCTAAAAAAAGTAATTATAAAAAAAATTTTAAATACCTTCTCTTAAACTTGTTATGTAGTTTTAACTTCATTAAGGAGAAAACTTGCATCATTTTTAAGAGATGCTTCAATAATATCATTTTTACAATGAGTGATAGGAAAGTTAGCATTGAAGTATTCCATAGAGTGAAAATCCCAATCTTAATTCGAAAGACGGTGTTGATAATCAAGAGAGTTTTGAATTAAAATTATATATCTTTTTTATGATATCTGATAAATTTTTTATGCGAGGATCCAATTGTTGAATTCCCAAGGAAAAGTCTGCTCAAAATATAATGATGACGAATCTCAATTTTAAATCATATTGAAGATTAACATTCCTTACTCTAAGCGAATTCTCTCTTCATGGGGTTTTGGGGTTTTGGGGTTTTGGGG